TATTCTGGATGTTTCTGTGAGAGTATCTTTGGATGAGATTAACATTTAAATCAGTAGACTGACTAAAGCAGATTACCCTCCCTAATGTGGTGGGCCTCATCCAATCAGCTAAAGGCCTAAATTAAATAAAGTCTGAATCTCCCCTGAGTAACAGAGTTCCTTCTGCCTGAATGCCTTTAAACTGGGACACGGGCTTTTTCTTGCCTTCAGAGTCAGACTGAAACAACAGCTCTTCCTGGGTCTCAAGCTTGCTGGCCTTTGGACTGGTACTACACCATTGGCTCTATAGGATCTCCAGCCTGTGACTCACCCTGCAAATCTTGAGGCTTATCAGCCTCCATAATCATATGAGCTTATAATAAGTCTTTTTGCACATATATACAGAGAGGAGCGGGGGAGAGAGAATATGTGTGTGTGTATGCATGTGTGTATACATTCTATTGGTTCTGTTTCTCTTTCTCTGAAGAACCCTGACTAATACAGAGGGAATGAATCTGATGGGGCTGCAAGAGTTTGTACTAAAGCATGATGATTATGAACTTGGGCCATGAGGTTCAAATTCCAGTACCATTCATTAACTGTGCCCTTAGTCAGGTTATTCAACCTCTCTAATCCTCGATTCTTTCCTCTGTTTTACCTAAAACATAGTGTCAGACATGATGATTCTAAGTGCTTCACAAATTCCTTGTGAGTTGGTTATAATTATTGTCCCCATTTTACCTATGAGATAACTGAGGTACACAGAGCTGATGGAACAAGAAGATTCTTAAAAGATTCACTGAAGGAATACTGTGATCCCTTTCAAATAGCCTTTTTTTTTTTAAAGATTTTATTTATTTATTTGACAGAGAGAGGCACAGCAAGAGAGGGAACACAAGCAGGGGGAGTGAGAGAGGGAGAAGCAGGCCTCCCGCCGAGCAGGGAGCCCGACGTGGGGCTCGATCACAGGACCCTGGGATCATGACCTGAGCCGAAGGCAGATGCTTAACGACTGAGCCACGCAGGCGCCCCATCAAATAGCCTTTTAAATATTTCATTATTTTGACTACTATGTTCTCCTTCCTTCTGTCCGTAACTGACACAAGGTTCTTCCTTCCTACTTGACCACAGGCATGTGTTGGCATTGGAGAGGGTTCTAGGATGCATTCATGTACAAAAGAGAGCCTGTAATTTTGATGCATTAAGGAACAGGAGTCTGGAAGCACCTAGCCTCTGGCTAATGAGCACTCTCCTCCTTTCCTACAATGCTGCTCTTAGTAAAAACCAAAATGTGATTTAAAACTCTGGATGTACAGTCTTATTTCTTCTCTACATGGCAAGCCAGAAAGAGAAACCTATATTCCTGTTCTTTTTGTACCTCTCACAAGATCTGTCCCTACCTAAGTGGCTTCAAGGAACAAGGATAATCTGGGGAGTTTAGATTGGGAGCATTTAAGCTTTTACTAGGTACTATTCATTCACTACGTGTAAATGGGGTGGGGGCTGGGGTAAGGGCGGGAAGAACATATAAAGAAAAAGCAGTAAACAAGCCATGTGGAAGGCAAACCAAGGAATCAAAACAGTGGATCTGTCAAATTGTATATTCCTGTGCCCAAGCCTTGTGCCCTTGTGGTGTTTTGAAATATTGTCACAGGGTGCCAGGCATGTCCCAAAGGTGGACCTTGGAGAGGGGGGTTTCTGAGCTGAGCAAGTAGCTAACCTACTTGCAAATTGACTTTGGAAAGATCATATGATAGGAAGTTTTATAAAAACTTTTATTATTGGGACACCTGGGTGGCACAGTTGGTTAAGCACCTGACTCTTGATTTCGGCTCAGGTCATGATCTCAGGGTGGTGAGATGGAGCTCCCGTGTGGGGCTCCTCATGTTGCTCAGAGTCTGCTTGGGTTTCTTTCTCCCTCTCCCTCTGCCCCTCCCCACCTCAAGTAAATAAAAATAAATCTTTAAAAAGAAACTTTTATTATTATACTTTTTGAAGTTGTCATTTTTTAGTCAATCATGCATCTTGCACCTTACCTGGCAAATATAAGCTAACTACCTGGATCTGGAGCTATTACAAACTAGAATACTTTGGGGCATGGTGTGTCAGAAAAAGCTTTCAGAGACTGAATTAGCACAGTATAAATATCCATCCAGCAGAGCAGGTAATTTTCTCATTACTCATCAAATGAGTTCCTAAGCATTAGTTACTCTACATGTTGGTTCTTTGTGGAAAAAACTCACAGGCAGCTGAATCATTTCAAAGCAAATTTTCCATCTCCTTCCTTCTCTGTGTGGTTTAGGCCTTTATAGACCCTGAATAACTTGAATCTCCTGGTTGCCTACTGGCAAAGATGACTATGGATATATTTTATTTTAATCAAGCAATGAGTAAATCCTAGGGGGAAAAATCTCATTATCATATTAAAAATAAATTTAGGGCTATCTGGTCATCCTTAATAGACTTAATATTTATCCAGTGTTTATGCTTCTCAAATTAGACTCTATAACCTTTCCCAGAGCAAGATGAAGAAACTCCTAACCAGTATCATTTTCAGCATAAGCACAAGAGAGTGGAAAATGCTGCCACCACCACTAAATAATCCTGTGGGCCTGTGGTATTTTCTGTGAAGCTTTGAATCAGTCTGACTCTCTCCTCATATGTGTAATATTTAAAGATGTCAATGTGGGGCATCAGCAGTTGAAAATTCAGAATACCAAGCAAGTCTTCCCCTGTGACTCTCACATAACATGTGCCTGGAGGATGAGCCTACATCGATGCCAAACTTCCTTCCTTCCTTTATTTATTTATTTATTTATTTATTTATTTATTTATTTATTTATTTGGAAAATCCCCCGCTTCCTCCATTCTTTCACAAAACTTTCTGCATGAATGACTTTCAGTCTGAGGGCCATACATATATTTCGTTTTTCTCCACTTGCAGGCTTTTCTCCAAGAAACTTCCACATGCTAAATAAGTGTCACATTTGGGGGAAAAAAAATCCTGACTAAAGGATTTTGTAGTGACTTTGCATTTGTCACTACTTCTCCCAGCCCAGGCCGGCTTGCTTTATAATGAAAGTCAGAACCATAACTCGGAGTTTTATTGGCAATTAAGGATCTGAGGACCATGCAGATCTTCTTCTTCTTTATTGTATAAGAATCTTAAATGTTTTATGACTATTTAAGTAAACAAATTTCAGCAACATGCCTTGTTTTAGGAATCCTGCTTTAATAAAACCCAAACACTATTTGTTTATTATTATTAAAAACATTAACATTTCAAAATACCCTTTGGGTCACAGAATCTTTAAGAAAAAATGACTTCTGGGACGCCTGAGTGGCTCAGCCAGTTAAGCGTCTGCCTTCGGCTCAGGTCGTGATCCCAGGATCCTGGGATCGAGTCCCGCATGGGGCTCCTTGCTCAGCGGGGAGCCTGCTTCTCCCTCTGCCTGCAGCTCTCCCTGCTTGTGCTCTCTCTCTGACAAATATATAAAATTTAAAAAAAAAATGACTTCTACTTATTTCAATTAAAAGCATCCTTTATTCAATTCTTACAGCTCTGCTAGCTCTAAACGCCCCCTTTACAGCTCTGCTTTCCTCCTTTTTTCCCCTGGGATTCTCTCTCCAATAGCTTGCAGTTAAAAACTTGAGCTTGGCTCTCAGGCCAGAGCGCGGGGGGGGTGTGTGGGTGTGTGGATTTGGTGGCAGGGTTGGGGATTGTGCGTTGTTTTTCCGGATCCGAGGCAAGGATTTTCCATCGCCTGAAAGAGGCCATCAAGTTTTAACATTGCAAGGCACGACTTCTAATCGCATCCTTCCCGGAAAAGTACAAACAGTTCCTCAGCCGAGGTCCCCCACCTCCCACGCGCTCTCCAGCTCGCTCTCCCCGCGGAGAGCCCCGCGAGAGCCTCCCCAACACCTGTGAATCATCTGAGAGGCTGCCACCGCGGAACCATTTGCATACCCCACCACCCGCCCTCCCTCAGTGCCTAATGCACAACAAAGGAGGACAATTAGGATTGTTTCTTTATGATTATTATTTTTAGTCTCTCATATGACCAGCACAAGTAGCCTTTCTCGACCACGCTGTTTTGAGCATCACCCCCCGCCCCACGCCCCCGGCCCAAAGCTAGCCTCGACTGGTACCTAGGTTTGCGCACTGAATGAACCACCAGAATTTTGTAGCGTCCCAGAGATCCTTAACTCCTCAGCCCTCCACACTCCCCTTGGAAGTATGGACGGTTCTATAAGGTGTGTACGCGCTTCCGTGAACTATTCTTAAGAAACTCAACATAAAACCCCAGGCTCCGGTTGCATATTCAACCGAAAACAGCGTCATCTATTTTGCCCTCAGCAAACAACTCTCAACTCCAAGCCTTGAACTCCAGGAAACCCACGCTGGTCGGGGTAACTACCCTTCCCTCCCCCTTAGCCCAATTCATTTTATATCTCTCAGAGATAATTGGTCTGACGTACTTTAAAATAACGTGTATGAGTCTGTCTCCCCAACTGACCACATTAATGCAAAATCCAAGCACTCGATGCTGCTTTGATAAAATGAAGAAATCACTCATAAAAATAGCAGCCCACGTAGCCTGGCCATATATGGAGCTGGTGAGGGTTGACAGGGATGCCCCTTCTGAGCCACTCCTTCAGAAAAAACAAATTGCTGCTGAAATCTCCTCGACTCCCTCCCCCACTTCTACTCCTCTGCCTTCCCCTCCCCTTCTATGACTCAACCAAAGACAACTCAGCGGGGGGGGGGGATTACATATAATCGCATATATGTCGCATATATAACACAATATATACACACACAGATATATATATATATATACATACACACACAAAGAATATCAGAAAACCAGTCGCGAGATAAATGTATTTGCCTGACACCGGGTGTTAAAATGGAGTCATAAGAATCGTCCCGTTCAGGTGTTTATAAAAGACTGAAATACAAAGGTTTGCAGTAAAGCGCACAGGGAGCTGAGTCAAGCGCTCCGCACAACTCGGCTCCTCCCCTCCCACCGCCAGCCTCCATCCTCCCTCCGCCCTCCCCTCAACACACTTCCTCCCCGCCCCTCCTAGAGAGGGCTATTAAAAGCTGCTGACGTCAAAAGGGACGGCCATCTTTGATGAGGGCAGAGCTCACGTTGCATTGAAGACGAAACCTCGGGGAGGTCAGGCGCTGTCTCTCCTTCCCTCCCTGCTTGGCGGCTCCTCCACACTTGCAACCTGCAAGGGGCCAGGCGAGCACCACCCTCCGAAGAAACCAAGGTAAGGAGCCTCCACCTCGGGTCGTGGTTCTGGTTTTGGATGGCTGCATACCCAGAGGGGACCACAGCCAGGGAGACCAAGTGAGCTTGGACAAATACAAGTATTTGTGCACCTAGGGTGCGGTATTCCGTGTGTGCGCCTTGGGATAGCTCCGGTCTGGAGCTTTATAAAGTATTTTCGAGGTGAGCTGCTTGGGGAAGGGAGGAATGGGGACACTGCAGATGGAGCGATGGGGAGGAAGCTCAAGGATACGTACCGAATAATAACTTATTCTTTTCGAAACAGTAGTGGGACTCTCTCTCTTCCATTTTGCGATGCAGTTTTCAGAGATGTTTAGGCTGCTGGGTTTTTGTTTTTGTTTTTTTTCTGTAGACCGAAACAAACAAACCCTGTCGTTCTGACCCTGTTATTTTGATTATTGTCTTTAAGGCTCTATTATCCAGGGAAGAATTAGGGAGAAGGCAGGTTGTGGGCGCTGGGGAGGCGAAAGCAGAAGGGGGAGTTCCCGCCCCGGGCAAGCCGAGCTGCAGCAGCGACAGCAGCCTCCATGCCCCGCGGACTTGATTTATGCCGCCTGCTCCACGTCAACTGCAGGCTGGCGGGAGGCGGGCGGGTCGTGCTGTGTGGGAGGGCTCTGCGGAGGGCTGGTGGGGGTGGGCTCGCCTCGGGGACTGCGGCGGCCCGCAGTCAGCACCCTGGACAGCAATACCGAGGGACCTCACGGGCGCCCGCGACCTTTCAGCACCGCGGACAGCGGTCCGGCAGCGATGCCTGGACAGACCTGGGTATTCAGGGCTGGAGGCCAAACTGCCTGTCTGAGACCCCGGTCTCACAGAGACTCATTAATAGAGAAGGAATAGTAGGTTAAGAATTTTAAAAAAGAAAAAAATAAATCCTGCCCACAGGACTCCTTTGCAGGCAATTACCTCTCCCATCCTCAGCTCCTGCATAGCTTCAAAAAAATAAGTCTACTTGTGGAAATTTTCATGTTACCCTCTTCCCCTTTTTTTAGGTAGAAAATAAACACTTTTTTTTTATTAAAAAATCTGCATTCATCCTCCAGTCGGATATCAAGGGTTTTGTTTGGTTTTGTTTTTAACACAGAGTATATTTGTCTGCAGACCTTTGGTGAGCATGAATAAGGTATATATGAAGATACCAACATGATCTGTTTACAGGAGTAATTTATTTCCGTATATATTTCTATCTGACAAAAAAAAATATGGGGGTAGTTGAACTAAGCAGAATCAACTTTAAGAATGAATCCCTCTTCCTCTTCCTTCTCCCCCATCCTTGTAATTAGGCATGAACATAAACACACACTCACAAAAATACATCTCTGAGAAATATTACAGGTCCTACAGGGTATAGATTTAATCTCTTTGGCTATGGTTTCAGAGTGAGTGGAAGTGTTTCCTATGGACATTGGTTATCTCAGGCTGATAGTTTCTGATTTGGACGTCATTAAGACTGGTTTTCCTCAGGAAAATTACCTTCAGGGTAATGCAGGTGTTAGATTGAAACCGGACTCTGACCTAAAGATCTACTGCAATTTCTATTACGGCACTGCGGGATTTTGCTGAGACAGTGATAAGTACTTTAACCATTTTCTACTCTGAGGCTTGGAGCCTCTGAGTGAACAAAAATTACCACAGGGTTCTTTCCTCCTGTTTGATATAACTAAAATTGGCATAAAATGACCAGGAGCAAAACTGTACTATTTGAATAGTTGTTAAATAAGAGTAACAGCGTCATATGTAGGAATCTATGCAACGCATTAAAAGAAACACTGTCATGATCCCTTGAAAAGCCTCACAATAAGATCTTGGATTGTTTATGTAAATCATAATTCCAATCATTTCTATACTAGAGCTGTTAAAATGCCTGGTCCATATAAAGGAGGTACTTTCATTCCCAGCTATTTATTTCCTAATTTTTTTCAATTTCATGAATAACCATGTGTTTCCATTTGAGTGTATATTGACCTGTTACCGTATATGGATGTAAAATTAATATTCAGGGGTACGTAACTGCATGGAAAAATTTTATAAGTCTGCAATCCACAAACAAAATAAACAACTGTGTTTTAGTGATGGGAGGAGGGGAGAAAAGATGGGTAGGAGTCATTAAAAATGCTTTGACTTCATGCTGCATGTCCAGACAGCTCTGCCTAGTTGCGTCAAATGAAAAAGCCTAACGCTGCCGGAATTACGTGCTTGGACATTAGTAATTACTGCTGGGTTTGTTTGCTAGTGGAAGACCGGGTGGGGGGGGAGGAGAACGGGGGGTGGAGGTAGAAGACCGCAGTGAAACTGGCAAAGGGCAAAGATCTGGAAAGAAGTGACGATGTGCACAATTATGGAGCTAATTCTAGAACAGCTTACTGAGAAATTAAAGAAAAACATAATTGAAGCATGAATTTAACATTTATATTATTGATAAGCTTCAGGAAAAAAAAAGAAGAGATTTTCTCTTTTAAATTTTAAACATCCAGGGCAATACAGCAAGAAGAGGCCGGAGCAGATGGACGTCAGGATGTGCCAGGAAACATTCATGCAGACCCTCTGATGGTACCTGCTTGTTTGTTCATTGGCATTTTGTGCATTATCACCTTGGCATTCAGAATACGAAACAGTTTATAATCTTCTTAACCTCTCCATGGTAAAATCTCCCAAGAATTTACAATTTTATTCCTACTTTATGAAACATGCACAACCACACGTGCGCAAACACAATAAAATGCCCCTTAATTAGCTAGTCTAAAGACATTCCTAAACTCTAAGTGTTAACCCCAGAGTGATGTTTATCAACCAGAAGACTGATATTTCTGCCAGTTGCACCTCTTCCCATAGCAGACAGCCTTCAGCAGAACATGTAGGTTTTGATGATTAGTAGAAATGTGAGATAACTTGAGAAAGAGATTGAGAGGGGAGACATGAAGGATAAAAAAAGATAAATCTGCTTTTTATATGATGTACTATGAATAAACTATTTTTCTCACATTATGGAAATGCTTTTCAATTCTATAAAGGTAAGAAAATTGGTGTTGTCAGCCTCAGCGTAGATACATTTCTGCAGTGTCATCCCTTGTCAGCAAGGACCAACATGATAGGAAGATATTGACCAATCAGTGAGCACCAGATACATAAATGAACCCCATGGAGGACATAAAGTCTCATGCTTATATAGTCTTTGACCTCAGTAAGTTTAACATGTAGTAATCTTAGTAAAAACAATAAACAACAAAAATTAATAAATAATACCAGAATGAAATACAATAAAACAGTGGAAGAAGAATCATGAAGGAAATATATAATAATTTGCCCAGTGAATGTGACCAGAAATAAGGAAGGTAAATTCTAAGGAGGACAATATTGCATTGGACTAGAATGATCTGAGCAAGGAGGCAGTACATCAGCTGGTTTTTGGAGGTTGGAGAAGTGGGGGAGATTTGCTGAGTAAAAGTTACAGCATAGGCAGAACTATAAGTAAGGCAAGCCCAATTTATGGACAGCAAATATCCATCCATTTGGGTAGTGAGAGGCTTATGTTGGGGAATATACTGGAACAGAGACTTGAAGCCTTCTATGGAAGGCCTTGAATACTAAGTTGATGGTTTAGTGCTTTATTTTCTACAGTTGATTTCAGAGAAGAAGCTGATATAATAAAGTAACCAGGTCCTTTTTAACATGTGAAAACTGCTATTCCCAGAATGGATTACATTTGTTTTCCTCCAGAAATAGAGGGGAGTAAATTGGTATAAAGGATGATTAATTAGAAGAAAAAAAAAAACAAAACCAGTCCTCATTTAGGCATCCTTTAAGATCCCTTCTCAGGATACACATGGACTTATGAGTCCTGCCCAGAAGTTAATTAAAAGTTTCAAATTTTCATTATTGACTAGAACAAAATATTCAAGATGAGCACCTACCAGAAAGATTGCAAAGCAGGTCAAGAGCCAGGAATGAGAGGTACCCAAAAGGTACACTTGCATGATAAACATGTAGAACACTCTCTTGCACCTTGGAGTATTCTGCATTGTCACATACACTGGCTAGCTGGATGAAAATAGAGGCCAGTTTTTCTGTGCCTGTTTAGGCAGCATGACACATAACAACCAGCCCCAAGTAGCTAAAACTGGAAGAAAAAAAAAAACTATAGTAAAATTTTGGAAAACTGAGGTGAGGTGGACAGAACATCATATTTCTTTCCCTACCAGCCTCGCTGAATCTGCTGAGCCCCCTCACTTCAGGACTAGTTCAAGGTCTGAACTATACCTTTTTCATTTTTAATCTTGTGGTTATTACTCTCTCAGCAGAGCTTCAAAATTCCAAATGCTGTCAGAACTGCTGAACTGAAATAGTCAGTGGCTCCATGTGGAGGAATAAGTGGCAGTTGCAGGCATAGATCTTGTTGCTATTTCAATTCTCACGCGGAAGTGCCAAGGGACTATCCTCATCTGTTCTTCACCAAAACACTGGCAGGTGAGACATCCTTAGGATAACGTGTTGATTTCCAAGATGATTCCCCGGGGGAAATTTGGAAATAGTGATGTTTCAGAGGAGGTCAAACTGGTGGTTATTAATCTGAATGCAGACGGTCTTGTAAGTATCAAGGGGGAGGGAGGAGACACCACACAGCATTGACATGAAGCAGGACATGGTGAGTGGAGAAAGAGTTTTGAAAAACAATTAGTTGTAAAAGGGGAAGAGATTACAGGGAAATTTTCAGAGAACTCTAGCTGCAGTGTCAGAATTACTATCACTGCTGTAATGATAATAGCTACTCATTTCTACGTAATTTTCTTCACAAGGATTTCAAAGCACTTCACCCAATATAAAAGTACAACCAGTTTCTGATTTCTAGATGAATAATGCAAACCACAGTTATAGGATGAGTTCATATATGATAGTAGATAATGTTTAGTAAGCCATAGATCTCATGTAGAAGAATGGAGACACCCAGAGCTAGGATTAATCAGAATAGGCCTATGGGGGAGAAGAGTGAGCCACTAATTCTAAAAGCTTTTACCTGTACTAGTTCACTGAATCTTCATAACAACCCTATGATCAGGGCACTATTACTATTTCCGTTTCAGAGATACGAAAACTGAGGCAAAGAAAGGCTAAGAAACTTGCTTAAGATCACAGAGCAGAGCCAGGATTTAAATTCGATCACTCTGCGTCCAGAGACTAAGCTATTAACTATCTGTTAGGCGACCTCTTGCATCATCCACATTTTTCATATTGGCCAAATCAGGCACACAGAATGTACATGATTTCTTTTCCAATATCTTTTCCCCCTCAGTTGGGCTGCAGGGTGTGATGGCAAGGATGCCGATCAGGAGCAGGGAGACCTGGTTCTAGCCCTGAAGCATCTGCTTGTAATTTCCTGTTTGGGAATCACACTATCTTTACATAAGTCACTCAGCCACCATTGAACTCAGTTTGTTCATCTGTAGAATGACAGAACTGGACTAATATTTTCCAGTATCCCTACCATTCAGAAGTTAATGAAATCGGTGCTGAAAACTCTGGGTAATAGGTCTGGGTCCAGTGACCTGTTGATCTCAGCTGTCACTGCCTTAATATTGCTTTAGTACCTGACCTGACTCCCTCCCCCATTATAAGATTATAAGATTAATTTATATCCACAGCCTCCCCCGCTCTTCCATCTCTCTCTCCCTCTCTCTCTTTCTCTTTCCCCCTCTCCCAGTAATTTCTTTGACATCACCTTTCTGAAGTCTTTATGGTCAGACTTAAGAAACCCTGGCTTTTTCCTCAAAGCCCTTATCTGAGCCATCAGTGTTTTGGGGATCTTTCATCCTTCTCAATCAGATTTTATTGCTCTCTGGCACAGACTATTTCCTACAACCTGCCTAAACTTTTTATAATTCTTTCCCCAACCTAATTAACTGGTGGTGGTTGTTTGTTTTTTTTTTTTATCCCTTTCTAGGCCCCCTTTTGATGATCTCCTGTGTCTGACTTAAAGCAATTTATTAGCTACTATTTCTTCATTTCTCCTCTTTCTTCCTCTGCCACTTGGAAAAAAGAAAACACTTTCATAGACTCTATGAGCCCTTAAGTACTTAAAACATAACAATTCCATGTGATCTGAATCACGTGATATTACTAGCTAGCTCAAAAACTAATCAAGTTTAATGGATGGGCTAGAGGTGGGGAGGGAAAATAGCATTTCAAAAAAGCTTTAAGGTCAAGGGACAAGGAGAAGGGGAAGCCTTAAAGCCTCTGAGATTTACAGTTCAGAGGCCAGCAGTGGGCAGTACAATGTTTATTAATTAAACTCAGAGTCCCATGTGAATTAAAGTCCCATGTTCCAGAAAAGCCATGTTCTCCTTGTTGCTACAATCCCGTTCCTACTGTAGCATTTGAGCAGTGTTTCACTCATTTTCTTACTGCTGACCCTCAGAGGTTAGCCTCAGCAGTGATTAACGGATGATAAGAACAAATCTGTATCCCCTAAAAGAGATGGGGGACAATCCTGTTGAAGGGTTCATGTTTCCTTTTAAATGCTCAACAATCACTCTAGAGAAATTCAAAGTGAATGACAATGTCAGCACCGGACTGATGCTCCATGACAGCTGCAGTAGCTTTGTGGCTTGCTTTCGGTGGTCACGGAAAAATATACATGATCCTCTTAGCTAGTAAAGGAAGCTAAATTCTGTTTCATGTGAAGGGGGAACGAAAACAACTCACTAATCTTTTCTTCTGTTATGGGGTTTTTATTGTTGCTGTTGACCTGATTTGGTTCCTAGTACCCAGAGATGGCTAATTCTCTTGTGTCTTAAGTTGAGACTGTTTGCAGTTTCTGCTGATTCACCTCATCCATCCTCCAAAATGGTCCATTTTATACTTGAAGAACAAGGTTCTACTCCTGCTAAAATGGTAGGTTCTACAAAATACCCATCTGGTCTCATCATTTCCCCATCGCTTCCTATATCCAAATCCCACCAGTCACAGGTTTTGAACTTGGGAGATGACTGTTCATGCCTGCAGGCTTGAGCGAGTGGCTTCTATTCTTTACTGATGGCAGCACTTCAAGAAAATGAGAGCCTCAGAGGTGCCCCCCCCCAGGCCAGACTCGCCCTGCACTCTGGCCCTGCTCCTATTTCAGACAAATCCCTCCGTATAGCTCTGAGAATTCTGCAAGTTGGATAGAATCCCATTGCTATGGGGAATCTCAGACCAAATTGCTGATTTCCTTTCTTCATCTTCATCTTTTGTACAGTTTCAAAAAAATAATAACTGACAAATTGCAAAGCCATGTATTTCTTGAATTTCTTTGCAGTTAATCCAAGATCGGTCTGATAGCTCTAAGTAACTCACACTGTGACTTCTCCATTGATAAACAGAAAGTGGAGGGAAATGCATGCCTGTGAGTCTGCTAGGAAGACTATGCAATAGTCCTGTTGAGTGAATTTTTTATTTTAATGGGAAATCCTATTGTAAACCTCACTGTAACACTAGAAATAAGATAGGATTCCTGATTTAGGCTGGAGAAATTGCTGAACATACCCACTTTTTCCAATTCCAAGATGACTCTCCCTGTATTCCTCAAACTTAAATCAGCTGTCATTATGGCACTCTTCATTAATTAATTAATTCAACAAATATTTATTGAGCATCTGTCATCTACAAGAAAACACTGCGCTGATTACTGAAGATAGAATAGTAAATAAAGCATGCATGTTTCTGCCTTCAGTGCATTTTTCTGGGCATCCCCTTTTGAGGTATTATTATTTTAGAAGACATATTTCACATAGGATCCCTTTTTGAATCTAAAATACTAACCCAACTTAGAAAAGAACTTGGCTCTCTATTCAAAATGTACAATTGATTGAAGTTTTCTACTGAGTGGTCAGTATCCATAGAGAGTTTGCTGCATCATAGATGGAATATATATTAAGAACACCCGCAGCCATCAAGGAATTCAGTAAATGTCTAAGATATGCCCTTATATAAATTTGCCTCTATGGACATGGCAATCAACTAGGATATCACTAACATTTCCTTTAAGTACATGTATCCCAGTCTATTGGGTCCTTTCCCTATATAGATCGTTCCCATCACTCATGGGGAAAACAGGTCAAGCTTTGAGGAACATGGTACCTCCTAGTCCAGAAAACCTAGCCCCGACTATAAAGGTCATGGAACAATGCAAGAATAGGGTGACTGAGCGAAAGCAGCATCTTTTTGATGACAGTACTTCCCAAGCCAATCCACTTCCTTCCTCTGAGAACTCCCTGTCATGAAACAAGGTTCAAAGATTCAGGATCAAGTAGAAGTATGTATTAGTCTCCCAACTCTTGCCTTTAGAAATTTACCTCTTCTTACCAATGAGCAATGCTCCGATCTCCCTTATATAATTTCTCACATTGCTTTGTAATTACATATGCATTTTTCTTCCTTAACAGACTATAAAAGTTTTTGAGAGCAAGGGCAATATGTTAACCATCTTTGAATCCTTGGTAACAGTACCTGTCACACACCAGGTATACAGGAAATGAATGAGTGAATGGGAATACCAACCACCCCTTTGCAGAAAAAAGAATTCTACTACTGTAAGTAATTCCTCCTTTTATTGACCAAATGTTATATCAGAACAACTCAGGAATGCAGATTCACCCTAACTGTTGGAATGAAGTTTTGTGCCAAGGAAGCACTTATGTTCACCCAAACTAGCTGCCAAACTTTGGTAAATAATTTCTTTTTCTGATCTGCTTTTTTATCACTTATGAGTCAGGGGTTAAAATGCTAATGAAGACTCAGGTAATTCTCAAGGAAAGTGTTGCCAAAAGCAAGTTTATATTCAGAGATGAAAAGCCATTTCCTGTGAGTGATTTAAGTCAATTTACATACAGAGCCAAGCTATTTCACATATATAAAATACAAAGCTAAAATTCTTTACTTTTCGCTAAGATTAAAAAGATATTTTTGATGCTGCTATCCACACATATCATAGTCACTGGGGGATAGATTGGTGGCTTCAGCTAACTCTCATTTTCTGGGTCATATATTTGCTGCTTCTCTGTTAGAATGGTGGCATGGTTGAGTTGGCTTCCCAGAAAATGTCCTCAAATACATCAGCTTCTAATTTTCCCTTCAAACATCCAGTGTTCTCTTGCCTAGGAGAGAAAAATAAACTGCGGCATGATGTAGTAAATCAGTCCCATTTATCTTAAAAAAAAAAAAAAAGCTGTTACCGCAACTACAACTAAGCACTGAATTTTGCATTTCTCTTTCCCCAGCCTTTCTCATGAAACAAGTCTAAAACCATGGGTCAGTTACCCTGCACCCTACTTTCTCCATCTGAGAACAAGGATACCACTTGATGACCATAAGAAAAAAGTAACTAACTTAAGGAATGACTATGGTATGGTGCACTAGACCCTTGGCATACATTATCTCATTGAATCTCTACGGCAGCCTTAAAAGAGCTTAAAATTCTCATCTCTGACTGCAAAGTCTGTGTTTTTTCCCACCATCCTATGAGTTTTCCCATCAGTTGCATACAGTCCATGGCGATCTTCTAACAGAAAGCATGCTCCTGACGTGTAGAACATGGGTCAGCAAAATCCAAAGATTTTGACTCAGTCCTCTGGGCTAAAAAGTCAGGTGAGATATGGTGGTATGAGGAACCAGGAGAAACAGAAGTATACAGACAAGCTCATTGAGCACTGGATTGCGAGAAATGGCTGCGTACTTGGCCCATTTCTGCCACTGCGATTATATGACCCTGACCAACTTATATAACCTGAACCGAGCCTCAGTTTTCACGTCTATAAAAAGCAAGCAATAGCTGCCTTGCATACATCATGTGGTTGTCTTGAGACTTAAAGAAGCTAATGCTTGTGAAGTGCTATTCCCTCCACCACTCTGGGAGCGAGGAAGAAATTGTTGTTGCCATGTTCTGGTAGCTGTCATTTGCCATGCCAGATTTCCAGTGTTCTTTATTGCAGGTTATGTGAAGGCCATATGCTTCTTTTCCTCTTTATAATGTTGAGTTTGCTTAAAGACACAGGTCTTGGTATCACATTATTTTTTATCTTGCGCAGCATGCATGATAAAATGGGAAAATGTGTCAACAGTCTTTGGTTTTTCTGTTTGGGGGAGGATTTTTAAAAATGCCTTTGAATAGCATCTCTGCTTACAGAGTGGCTTCGTGAGTCTCCGGATAGCATTTGGAGACCCAAGAGGCTCAGTTACAGTTTAAACACTGGTCCCCTCTTGCTTGGTGCCTGGGGACTTAGGGCCCTTAAGGAGTTAAAAAGAAATGGTATGCAAAATTTTCTGCTATTCTGTAGCTTGAGAAAAAGAAATTTGCTGTAAGCTATTTAGTGAATCGTTATTGAAGCTACATCTTTTGGCTTCATTTTGTATTCAGCTTTGTGTTAGGTTTTTTGTCGAGGAGGGTTGGATTCCTTACTAAATATTGTGTGTGTGCATATATGTTTTGTATGTGCACACAATACGCAGGCAGAGAGGTGCAAACACAGACGCTTTCTTGCAGCCAGCCTTGGGTACAAGATTCCTGCATGTCTCACCTCATCATTAAAACCTTTAGTTTTATTCATAAACCAATAAAACCTGCATAGGCAAGTTACATGAGCTGCAAAATGGATGTTCCTAAGTCACAATCACATAATGATTTCTCTCCAAAGTTGGAACAGGCCCCCCAAAAACCCTGCCTGTGCCCATGACCTCAGATTCTGCTTTTGGGAGAAGTCCTGTGAATCTAGGCCTGGAGGATAAGACAGCTCTTTGGGGAAAATTTTTGAAACCCACATTGTCTTTTGAGCACCTATTATGTACTACTTATTATATGATAGTCTACTATAGCTAGTATTTTTTTTTTAGATTTTATGTATTTATTTTAGAGAGAGAGAGAGCATGTGTGCAAGTGGAGGGAGGGGCAGAAGGAGAGAGAGAATCTCAAGCAGACTCCGTGCTGAGCATGGAGCCCCACAAGGAGCTCGATCCCAGGACCCTGAGATCATGACCTGCGCCAAAATCAAGAGTCTGACAGTTAACCGACTGAGCCACCCAGGCACTCCCTACTGTAGCTAGTATTATTCTTAATTTGTACAGCAACCTTCTAAGTGGTGGGTGTTATTTTCTATACTTAGAGAAGATACTATTTAATCAAGGCCCTTTCAAGGTGCTAAGTGCTGCCCCTCCCTTCTCCATGAACCAGTGGATGCATAAACTGGGGTTAGTGATGAAAATATCAGGCTTGACTGGAGAAAAAATGTTTAGGACCATTAGCCAGAATCAGATTAGTTCTGCTCCAAGTCTACATTGGGACCCACCAAGGGAGAAAGGATTGCAGAGATGTGTGTAATCAGACAGAACAGCTGGAAAACTAAGGTCCTACCTCCCTCCTCCACCCATCCCTCCCAAAGCACAGAATCTTTCTCAGGAGGTTTGCAGCTTGGAGCAGGCAGATCTGAGAGAAAAAAAGAAGTTGGGAGAGAGGGGGTTGGGAGCGATGATGAGCTATGATTGCTCACTGCCTATTTCCTATCTCACAGAGTACTTAAGCTGGGGCAAATAAAGAAAGGGTTGGAGGGGATGGTAGAAGCTATCTTCCCAGTACTGCTCTTCCCGAAGACTGGAGGTTCCCATTTTAAGGGACAAGGTAGGAATTGATGATTCTTTGAACATCAGAAAATAGTTCCTCCTTCTTCCACACAGCTAATAAGAGAGAAAACTTGAGTTTGAACTTAAGATCCGAAGTGCAATACTACTGACCCTCCACAATCAATGACACATTACTTTTAGGACATTCGTTCTTAGATGAGGAGCTTTGGACCAGCAGCATCAGCATCACCTGAGAGTTTGTTAGAAATGCTCTTCTCAGGCCCCACCCCACACCTGCAGAATCTGATACTCCAGTGCAGTGGGGAGGGGCGGGAGTCTGTGTTTTCATCACCTCCAGGTGATTCTGAGGCAGGCTCAAGTTTGAGAACCAATGTCCTAGAGATCTTAGGAGCTCCTTCATGTGTTCACATTCATCTTAAACTGGGTCTGATGAGGATGAGGTGTTTCCCCTGTTCTTTGCCTCACAAAAGTGGTGACCAGGAACTTAGAGAGAGAACTATCCTGGGCCACTGGATAGAAGTCTCTACTCACCCTCTCACTTAGTAATAAAGATGCGGTTACTCATAAGAATGAATTTGAAGGATGAGGAAGATGAGTGTCCACAGCACGAGGACAGGGGTCTTAGGTGGGGAACATAGGGCTGCTTTTTATACTTTTCTCCCCCTGCAACAATGGCTCAATCTCTGGCTCCTAGAATCTTCCCCCCAAAACTTATCAAAATGTAAAATCTCACCAGATGGAAGGACAGACCCTTTCTTCTTTCTGCTGCGCCAGCCTGAAGGATACCAGAGAGGAAAATGTACCCACTGTGCAAACGATACAGCCGTTCCCATTGCTCCTCTTTTGGGCCCCTCCATAAACTGTCATGGGTACAAGGAGGGGACTGGTCCCTTTTCACACATCCCTGCAATTTCTTATTTTCTGCTCTGGATCCCAGCACCAACTGCCCTTGGGGAAACAAAAGATCCTGGTGGCTCACATTGACCTTCTTTTCTGCCCTCCTCTCCTATAGAATCACGCATTTGGGTTGCTGGGGCAGACCTCACAAATGGTATTTTAAAAAAAAATGACAAATGGCCAGGCCCAGAGATAAATGACTGACCAAAGTCACAGGGTGAGCATTGCAGCTGGGCTCTTGGCTCACAGTTGAGTGCTGCTTCCACTGCCTTGCCACTTCTGCCTCCACCTCTTTCACATTTTCTGTCCAGTACAGGTCCACACTCCAGGCTGGAAATCTCTCAGTCTGTTGTTACCCTCAGAGGTCTTTGGCCTTGGATGGTGACCCAACATCTGTAAAACAAGGTAGGAACATTCTTATGATTCTCAGCTGCCAGGCAGAGCTTCCTGAAAAGGTTGACTATATGGCTTATGTCTTTTTGGTTTTGCACATGACAAAAACCCAAATATAAGTGGTTTAGGCAAAAATGGAGATTAATTCGCCCAGAGAATTCGAATAAATGTTGAACAGCCAAACCATGGGAAGGGCAGAGGAGATGTGCAAATACTATGGAGGCTCATGCTTTCCCTCCTGTCCCTGATTCCTTCCGCACACTGACTCCACTTTCTCTTGTGAAAAAGCCAGTTCCTCCTTCCACATACCAGAAACATGGCACCCAATTTGTCCTTCCTACACATCTGCCATGGAAAAGGCACAGCCACTTGTTGTCTGTACCCGGTGTTCAAAAATCTCAGGGAAAGGCTCTGATTGGCCCAGCTTGGGCCAGTTGCCCAGCTTACACCAATCAGCTGTGAATATGAAGTGTTATGCAAGAGTATGACTTACAGGCTGGAACCACATGATTCAACTGGGGAAAGAACCAGTTTCTTGGCAGACATAATAAGCCATATTATGTGTCCTATATACACAGACATAATTTTTATTAGTCACTTACCAAACAGGGTATATTAATTCACTCTGGAAGTGTTTAATGACACTTGTTTCTTTTTTCCAAATTGTTCCTCCACTCCCTCCCCCCCACCCCTCGCTATGACCTAATTCCCCCACTATGACTTCATGGCAGCTCTGGCAAGAAAGATGGTAAAAGAAAAAAACAAACAAAAACATTTTTCAGATCTAAAAACTGGGGCCTAAAACTTGACTGCCCTGAAAAAGGCAGTCAAATTAATCAAAGGCAGAGCCAACTCAAGGATGAAGGTTGGCCAGATGTCCAGTTCTGCTCCTAATTCATGGATGGCAAACTGGTGGCCCCTAGGCTTAATATGATCCACAAACTTACTTTATTTGGCCAGTGCTGGATTTGCAGATATCTTAAATATGAATGCCTTAAGGCAGCATATGTCCCCTCCAATTTGCCATAGAGCCTAACACTACATGTCTTTGTGTACCTGGTTCAATCCACCTGGTTCTCTTATCTTCCCGGCCCCTATAGACATTTGAGTTTCTTCTGCTGCCTACCAAAGTTAGAGCATTCGTGGTGGTTCTGTGAACTGCCAGAACCAAATCAAAGTAGAAGTTTCTTAGGTTATTTTGCCACAATTCTTCCCTCGAGATGTCTTCATAAGTCATGTCAATATTTTGAGAGACAAGATGGGGCAAATAAGTTGCACTAAATAGACCAACCAATTTTTACTTTTTAAAAACCTGAATAGAATTAGCTTTTTGTTTTTCCCACTGACCCTGCTGGCAGTCTGGTGACACCTATGAATCCCTTTGCAGAATGACATTTTTTTAATGTATAAAATAGAATACATAAGATTTCATAGGAAACAAATTC